GGATCTTTGGTACTATTCCGCATAAGTTGACCCTAAAAATGAAAATCGTGAATTTCGCTAAAACTTCATCTAGGGGGGTTATTCGGTACGCTGAACACGAATACGATGTTAATTTCGCCCGGTAGTGCCATGCGGTGGAGTTACAGTAGGATTACGGTAGGGAGTCAAAATCACGGATTTGCCCGAAACTTGGCCCAGAGGGGTTGTTCGGCCCGCTGATGGCAATATCATATTGGTTTTGAACCGTATCGTCATTTTCTCGGCTTACGGTAGCTGCACGGTAACGGGTGTAAAACGTAGTCCTGCCTGAAACGGGTGTACGGCGATTCGGACGATCGTGAAGTTTTGCACACAGACCACTGCCGCGCGCTACACACCCTGCTGCGGCTTTTGCCTAAGCAAAGCACAGGGGAAAGATACATTTGCCGATTTGTGATTTTGACCCCTACCGTAAAGCTACCGTAACCATGCAGGGAGACGTTTTCGTGCGGAGAAAGTGTGACACTTCTAATCAGCATGTCGAATAACCCCTCTGTGCGAAGTTACAGCGGATTTTGAGATTTCGACCCCCTACCGTATGCGCACCGTAACCCAGAACATGACGTTACGGTACAGAACCTATGTGATATTCGGCATCAGCGGGCCAAATAACCCCTCTGGGCTAAGTTTCGGGCAAATCCGTGGTTTTGACTCCCTATCGTAACCCTAGCGTAACTCCACCGGATGGCGCTGTCGCACGAAATAAACATCATATTCGTGCTCAGCGTACCAAATAACCTCCCTAGACGAAGTTTTAGCGAAATTCACAACTTTCATTTTTTGGTTCAACTTATGTGGAATAGCGCCGGATCGATCTTTTTGGCAGCCTAGGATTTATGAAATGTAGGAAAATGTAGATGAAAGACAGGAAAAAATGCAAAAGAGGACCAACTTCTTCATCAAATAATGCAAGGATAGGCATAAATTGGCATTTGCAACATTTCATTCAAAAACACCCATAATTCGAGAAAAAACAGCAGCTTACAACAGTAACATTGAAAATGCAGTTCATGATCGGCGCGACGGTCGCCCCGTCGCTCGCCGCAAACGAGCGACGCGACATCGCGCCGATTCGGCAAAATCGCGACGATATCGCCAGGTGAGCTGCGAACGCCGAAAAGTGTGGCGTGATTCGTCGTGCCACGCAGCCATCACAAACCCTCGGGACCCACACACTAAAGAGCGTGGCGTGGAACACTTGTCCAAAATGAGAGGACGCAACGCGACGAAGTCGCATGAGCTCTACCCAGGACCTAAGGTGATTTTGCGCATTACGCGAACTTGAATCAATCTGATTTTTATATCCAAAACGTTGAAGATATCAGTTCAACAAAGCTGATTTGTGCTCAAATGTCCACAAATTTCCAGCATGCTCACTTATCTCCCCACATCTAACATTAAGATGTAATTTGCTGATTTTTTCAAAGAGAGCAACCGAGAAGTACAGATAGCCATATAAAAATCTCACGTTTATAGGTTTCTTAGTGCCAAGGGAGGGGAAGGGGTGGAGAAAAGTGCTGGAGGTCCATAGGATAAGGTTCTTGAAGAATGATATGGTTTCTTTCGGTTTTTAGGCATCTCGAACTTTTGTTGCTTCAAACTTCAGTGAGTCACATTGCGAATATATGAACGCCATCGTGTGGGATACCCTATGTATACACTTTTCTTTAGTATTTAATCTGCCCCTATAGCACGTGATACCTCTTGATAAAATATCTTCTCGGAATAGCTTAATACGACTCAACTTTGTAGCTTCATCGGAAAAGCTCTTTCAAACAAAGACTGCCTCAGTTCTTCAAAAACTTGATTTTGAGGACGCATAGCCTACATATATGAGTGGAGCACGACTTCATCTAAGCTAACAATACATATAACTTTTCAATTGAAGACTAAGAACCGTCAACTTCAACCTTGAGGATACAGACAATACCACTTGTAATTTTTGAAAAAAATGATGCAAGGTCGCGCTATTCATGTGACAACAACGTCGCGTGGCCATATATCGCGTAAAGGCAACGTCCGAGCGAATTTCGACTTCTATTTTTTTGCCTTATCCGGCCCTTTCATAGCGCTGATTACAAATATGGCACTTAGAGTGTGTATTTCAAAAAACCTCATTTCCAGGCCATTTTGTGAGGACCATGAACGAGTGCTTTTAGTGCAATCGTTGCCGAAAGCAAGCATTAACGGGTAGATACTATGTGTGCAATTGCGTTTGCCTCGTAAAAAGCCTCACACCTCACTGAAGAGAGTTCGTTCAAGAGAGCGACGGTGCGAGGGAATGAGCGTGGTCCTCGAAGCTCATCGTTTTTTGCCGAGTTTCTCTCTTTACGGGGATGTGTGAAAGTCGGATCTCCGCAATTGATCTAGATCAAAGTTCTAGTAATCAGCTATGATGGTGCCTGAACCAAATCTGTCCGGACGCTGCCTTTAAGATTGGACGAATTCCCAATTCGAGGACACCATTTGACTCAGCTCGGCGCGGCGCATCTCCTGATTTATAGAGGTGCCCATCTGAACAAAGCAGGAGGCCAGTATCCACGAATGATTTCAATTTTTGCTTAGGTACCCATTGCTTCAACCAGATCGGCGGCTAGAAGGCGTGATCAATAACCTAATTGAGGCTAAAAAATGAAGAGCATGTTCGCGAGGGGGGCCAACTGCGTCGCGGGCGCGAGCAGTCTGCGCCTAGGATGAAGCCCCGCCTTCCAGCAGCCATTTGGTTGAAGCAAAGGGTAGGTTGCCCAGTGGATGTAATGAATGAGCACACTGAGTAACTTACAGTAAGCATGAATTTCAAACAATTCGTGGAGTCTGGCCTCCTGTATTCAGGTGGGCACCTCTATATATTGAAAGATGCGCCGCGTTGCGCTAATTCGTCCATTTGAAAGCGAGATGTGAGCATGCAACGGTGATCACACACAATTCGCGCGATTTTGCGTCGTTTTTACAAAGTAAATGAGCGGTATTGTAGCACGTTGAACTTCAGAATGGTGTGGCATAACTCCCTCTGAAGTTCTGCAAAAATCCGTCACTATTACAGCATAAATCGAGATGTAAAGCCTACTGCATGACGAAGGCGTAATATCTTTGGGCGCAATGCTGCTTTATTAGCCGCAGAGTGCATGAGACGAAAGTATTATAATGGTGAAAATACACGCGCGCCGGACTCGCGCCCGCTCAACTGATACCGCTCCTGCGCCTTCGTCATGCAGTAGCCTTTATCCAAAAGTATAAAGGCATAACCTTGCTAACATTGCAAATTTTATTCGGTTTTGCGAATATTGTGGATGAATGTGCTAGAACTCTTTGATCACAGTATTCAAGGGGCGCCTCTCTTAAATTTGGATCTCTTCAACAATTTTATTGTGCTTGTTATAATCAAGCTGGATTCGGCCATATGCGAATATTTGTAGTTTCATGCATGTCGTCTGTTCATTTGTTGATTCGCATGCTAAATCTGAATTTCCCTTTTTTTCTGAATTAGAAAATAGACATAAATGGAACAACATTGTGACTTTTTTCCTTCACAAGCTTTCTGTTTCGAATAAACTCCTTTTTTCTTCTAGTTGTATAGTAAGCGTCGCTCAGCGGAAGCGGCTGGCTACTAACAAGACTACAACATTATGATAAAAGGTTTATCATCTGTCGCATAGGAAACTATAGGAAACGTGACAGGAGTGGATCGTGGACCTGTGAAGATGAGTGTGTGGTTGACCTCGGGGTAACCGCCCCAGGAAAAAGAGTGGGTATCGTGGAAGCTTCCTCGCGTGCTCTGCTCTGACTAGGTTATATACCTAGCGTTATCATAGCACATTATCTCCAAGAACATGGGAATCTGTTCTCATAACACAAACGATAACATAGGTTAACATCTTACAGCAAAGAACGCGCTTGACATTCTAGTGCAAAGAGCGTTGCTCTCGCAAGATAAAGCTACATTGTTCGAGTTAGATGACAATACTGATGATTCTGCCACCGAAAGTGTTTAATAGCCTCTCTCTTCCTCTTTTGTCTAATTGATTCATTCTTACGATTGTTACCACTCTATCATGATCCCTTTCGCTAGTGGTAGTGCACATCATTTCAAGAGCTCGATATAAATACAAGCACGATGGAGTGAAATCATATAGGCCTTGAAATCCAATTCCACGCGCCGCTTTGAACACCAATGCGCGGGGCGGCTGGAAACATTGGGACCTGAAGCGCTATAGGCTTGTTACAAGCGACAATAAGCACTCGCTGCTTTCACATATTTTTATATTTTTATAATTTTTTTGAAGGAAGTTTTTGCCAAAGCGTGCCTCATGTCGTTGAAAACGACATACAAGCTGGCGAAAAAATTATTTTACAAAACTAGTAAAGACCTCGTTCGCGGCAACCGTCCCTTATCGTGGTGTTCAAGGTATGGCCCGAGCAAGTTGTTTCACAAGGCTACTCACAGAGTTGTTCGATTTGTTCAAAGGAAGCTCTCATAGCTATCTTATTGTTAGAATTTTTTACAATCTTTATTTGATCAAGTACGCTAAAACCGGGCTGATTGCAGCATACAAAGCACATATGACCTACTAGAGTGTTTTGTTGACTTGCTTTCTTGCCGGCGAATACATCAGCGGATACATCTAAAAAAACACCATAGAGCGCTTTCGTGCAGGATTCACAAAAACGACTTACCCCCATGCAAGAGGTGCGCACAGGACAGCCACAGGGTCCGCAAGAAATCCACGTAGGGCAAACCATGGGGCAAGAAGACATTGAAGGAACTATTGGAGCGACGGGCATTATAGGACTTACACTCATGCAAGCAGTGCGCACAGGACAGCCACAGGGTCTGCAAGAAACCTGCATAGGGCAAACCATGGGGCAAGAAGACATTGAAGGAACTACTGGAGTGACGGGCGGAGGATATATTGGAGCGACGTTCGTTGAAGGAATTACTGGAGCGGCGGGCATTGGAAGAATTACTGGAGTGACAGGCATTGAAGGATATACTGCAGGGAAGGGCATTGAAGGAAAGACTGGAGCGACGGGAACAATAGGTAAAAGATTAAGCCCAGATATTGGTATGGGAGTCGGTAGAAAATAAAAGGGAATGGAGGGTATATGAACGGAGCAACTGTTGGTGGGTTAGGTAGTAGAGTTGGAGGAGGAGTCTGTGGAGCAACTGTTGGTGGGTCGGGTGGTGGAGTTGTAGGATCAGGATTGCCAAGCGGACCATTAGTGGGACAGTATCCACACGTCTTTGGGCAGAGTTTTTTCATCAAAGCTTCGTACGTAGGATTGCTGCAAAGTGCTTTTCTAGCCGGACAATCTGACACTCCTGTCCCTGGGTTCACTTCGTCAGCACATTCTAGAAAGGTACATTTGAAACAAAAGTTTCTTGAATATGCGAGTGATGGACGAACCGTCAGGGCACAAACCGCAAGTTTGTGGGCACATCTGCTCCATCAAGGTCTGATAAGTGGGGTTAGTGCAGAGCTGTGCTCTAGCGGGACAGTCCGACACACCGGTTCCTGGATACACTTGATCGACGCATGCTAAAAATTTGAAAGTCTTCTTCGTGGTCAAGAACGTTTCAAAATTGGTGGTTTTTTGCGTACAAGTGTGATTACCGCAACCTTACATGATTTAAGCAGCGATAATTTATGAGATATCGCACGCGTTTTAGAAAAAAAAGGAGCTTTGGGCGTAGCGCTGCGATCAGAGTCTAGTCACCGGTGTTTGGCAGTATACAGGGGTACAAGAGGCTTCATGAGACGAAGACAATCCTAAAGCCCCAAACGTATCTCAAGCACCAAATAACGTCAGGATATTCTTGTGATATCTATTATTAGACTTACGAGTTTGTCTCGCCGTCCTAGCAGCATGCACAATCTGGAACAAAGTCAGTAAAAATAAAAATTTTGAAAATTTGTAGTGAATTAACGTTGAAAAGGAGTTACCTGGTCATTTTCACAACAAACTGATCCCAACGCCGTTGTTATGCAAGTCTGCGTTAAAAATGGACATTTATTGCCATCCAAACACCCTAAAGAAAGAGTGGTAAGTTGTACCCTTATAAGAAGTTATACTATAAACTATACTTCATTCATCAGAGATAAGTCTCTAACAATGATTGGGGTTTTTTTTGTTTCAGTCTCAGCTAAATGGAAGGGTGAGCTATTTTCATTTAGAAATTTAAGATCGTACAAAACTGGAGATATCAGATTACATCAAACGGCGACCGGAAAGGCCTAATTAACTTGGAGAAAGTTACACAGAATCATATTACGACGGTATTTTGACACGCGTACAATGCATCAGTGTGAACATCCGACTGGGTGAAGGCTCCAGCGCAAGCAAACCTTGTTTTCACAAAAATTTCCAGCAAAGGCTCTCGTATATGGTAAAATTTGTCACGCTGTATTCAGACGTTTAAATCAAAAATTCTCTAAAACGAAAAAAGATGTTGAATTTGCTTCTTCTTCCCATGCGCATTGCATTACAGCAACAACCATACTCTCTTGCCACTCGTTCGATGTCATGTTTATCCAATCATTCGATCAATGCAAGCAAACAATAGCGAGCAAAATTTTGTACAATACGATCCACCGGTGGGTCGTACATGTCCTGCCATTAATACGACCCACTGGTGGGTCGTAAGATTCCTGAAGCTCTAACTTTGCTTGTTTACCATGAAATTTTTTACTGCTTCTGATTGGAGACACTTAGGCGAAACTTTAGCCAGAGTGGTCCGGGTTCGCAATGCTGTAATGTAATGTTACGGTAGGTATACCGTAAATAAATACAAGGCACACACTTTGGCTCATTCTTCGCAGAATGATGCTGTTTCTGGAAGATCAGGTACATGCAGAGTAATACGGGGCGGGCAGAGAATGGCGTTAAGCAATCAAAAATTAGCGATCATATTGATTTTATTAATTTTTCTTTTGCATTGTTCGTCCCAAAAAGCTCGAATCTTTACATATACAGGTTTTGTAGCATGCTGATTACGAAAATGACAGTCTCAAGTTCGAATACCATGTTCTTACATCATCTTCTCAATCTTTACGAAAATCCTACCGTGCTGCTACTGTAGCCCCATTGTGGGACAGTAGTAAACAAAGTGGACGCTACAATCGTGATCAGCACGTGAAATAACCCCGAAGCACATTTCTTCATGAGAAATCATGATGTTGGTTTCGTACAAAATGAATACCGTAACCTAACCGTACAATGTCAAAAACAAAAATTAATTTTTCAATAATCAGCGCCTCCGTTTACCCCGCCGGAAATATTCTCGGAGAAATGTTTAGAACTTTTTTCAAAAAGACTACCATTTCGAAGACTACGATCCAGGAGTGGATCGTAAGTTTGACAAAGCGAAAAAGGCTCTGGTACAAGCGGCAGTAATCGAAAAATCGGCCTTGTCGTGAATGTGTCAAAATGCTTTGCATTTAAAGCCCTCCTTTAGTCGCTCCAGTGTTAATGGAAGCAGAACATGTTATTTGCAGTTTGCTGCAAATTGTTGCAATCTTATTGTACATGCACCTTGATGAAGTGCCTGCATGTTTTTTTTTCCCTTTTTGAATTGCTTGCACAAATCTCCTTCCTAAGGCAAAAAATGCGGTCACATGGCGTTTCGCATTCACTCAGCAACACTGTAGCAAAAAATCTGTTATTTACAGTAGCTCGCTTTGGATAGCTTATTTTCAAGCATGTGAAAGTTCATAGGTCTTCTCGTTCAGACTTTGTTACTCTAATGCTTTTCAGCAATTAGCAGCATGAGTTGCCTGGCGCACTAGTCTAGGATTGTGACACCCATTCAGACATTTCTAGGGCTGTAACGAAGTGGAGAACGGGTAGGCATTCGGGAACTAATAGATATTGATTGAGTAGAAGTTATCCTGAAAAAAATCAAATAAATTACATGGGTAAAAAAATTATGATATTGCTTCCTTTGGCTCAGATTAGGTGGCTTGAGAAGTCTCACAATCCAAATCTCGATTTGAAAAAAAAGCTGTCAATGCTTTGATTTCGATAATTTATTTTATAATTTATGTACTTTATACAGTGTTAACCCTTGCGCATACACACACCAAATTTGGCGTCATACTATTGTCCGCTTGTAAACATCAGTTCAGCCACTAGTTTATTAGGGCAGAAGCAGGCTCGGCACAGCTGGCTTGTAAGCAAGCTGGATATTGTTGGGGGCCAAAAGCAAAGAGTATATCGTTTTTGTGGCCGAAAAAACACTACTTAAGACTCACAACTTTTACTTTTAGTTTTAAGGTCAAAGGGGACTTCGTCAAAGTTTAATGAAGGTCAAAGGTGACTTGTTTTTTTTGCATTTCCGAAAAGCCACCTCGTGCAGGGCCCTAAGTAGAAGGGTACTCAAATAAGAGTCGAAGAACTAGAGTTGGCCTCCACAATATACCACCGTCACTCCCTTTGGACATGACCCTCCATAAAGATAAAAGATCCTTATTATAGTTCTGGGTAACTGGAAGAAATATGATGACGGCAATGTTTGTATATTATATTAGTAACATAATTTTTTTGTATAAATTTAGAAGAAAAAGAAAGAAAAGATATGTGATACGAACCAGTAGAATTTAACGCACAGTGATGCACTGCGAACAATATAAGGTAACTTCTATGATGGTGGGGTCGAGTAGTATGCGGGATGAGGGAGGGGGGGGGGAGGAGCAAAATTTTGAAGAATTTTTGGACGTGGAAGCAACCAACGTGGAGGATTAGTGCATGGTTATTTTACGCCATAGAATTTTAGTTTCCAGCTAGTAACTGTCCGCTTTTTGTAGGTTTCCAAAATAAAACCTCGAGGGCACGTCAATGGCTCAGCAAGAATGAATATAGCCTTTGTTTTTACACCCCAAAACAGTATAAGCCTCTCTGTGTGCCACATGTGCCTTGCCCTGACCACTGTGATTATCTGAGTCTGAAAAAAAAACTACAGAAAATCTGAAAAGTTGTGTAGTATGATTCTCATCTATTAATTTCCAACAATTCGTAATGCTTTGGCCCAGGTATACCTTACATAATTTGAGGTAGAAATTTACAGTGATTCCAAATTTGATATTCAGAGTCAGCTTTGCGCAAATATTTTTGAGTTGTTTGGTTCCTTTCTGCAGCAAAATATAACCCTATTGGTCCAAAACTTCTGGAAACTTCCAAGTTACGCTTTAGTAAACTTGCACGCTACTCACCTTCAGCCAACTCATTTTTGCATGTCAGCCTCTGAGCAGTTTCAGCGGATTTTGTGTAGAATAAGAGTAGGAAGGCTATTGAAGGAAACATGTTCCATGAAGTGAAAGAAGCGTGCAAATTGTTTTAAACAAATGTTTCTTTTATTCGTTAGTGTTTCAGTTATCACAGGTGCAGCCACGTTGACATTTGACATACTTGGAAAAAAATAGGCGGAGAAGCCTTGATCATATTTCATCAGCTGCAGACCGCGCAAAATTAAGTAGGTTCCTGCAATAGTCTGTCGTTATTTGGACATGTCCACAAAAAGAGCTAAAAGAAGCAAACATTCTGAACCTTATTCCAAGAAGCTCTTCTTTATATGTCTAGCAATCAGCTGACCTATCTTTCTGACAAGAGAAGGATACTTGGTCGAAGTGGCGTTTCCATATAAAATGTATGCTATCTTATAGAGCATTAGCAGGCTTACCCGGCTCCGCCCGGCCCTGTCATTATTTTATTCGTAATCAGCATGCTCGATTACCCCCCTGTGCCAACTCCCTGCCCCGTAGCTCAAATTTTGCAAAAAATCGATAAAATCGATATCGATCGATAACGAAAAATAGCCTATGACACGCTCACCGCCCCGAAGTATATGTGTGCCAAGTTTGGTCCAAATTGGTTCAAAAATAAAAATTTCTATTCCGCACATACGTACAGACTTACAGACACACATTCAGCTTTATATATAAGAAGATAAAACGCTGATTCCAAATCTGTACTCTAGGATTTTTTGCGGTAAAAGTCCAATGATTTGGCTATGGTGAAAACACGTGTTAAGATCTTTTCGGCGTTTGAAAGGAGTAGTGCCTGACATGAGTTTATTGGACTGAAGCTATTTATCGTATAAAACACTCTGGTAGTATCATGATCACATATTTGAGCACAAGGACTAAAGTTCTGAATGACATTGTAAAAGCTCTTTCGAGTTTTTGCATCAGAATTTCCATGACTCCCTCCAAGAAGCCTTTGCAAATACCGAAAGCAGTTCTTGAATCAGCGTTTCATGACCTATAAGATAGCATACATCTTATATGAAAACGCCACTTCGACCAAGTATCCTTCCTTTGTGAGAATCGTTAAAGCATTGCATCTCCAACCCATCCTTTCCTAGTGAACGTGACACGCTTATAGTGCAAATCTCTAACGGTATAATGTTTTTTTGAGATGTCTTCCATCTCTACCTAAACAATGCTTTTTTAAAATGCCTTATTAGGTTCTGGCATTTCTGTCAGAGGTAAAAATCATGATGCCCTTTCAAACAACACCATCACTGCTCCGTTCAAGCAAAAACCGGCGTTGTGTTCATAGGTTATGATCAGGCCCCTGCACGAGTACGGTTTTGAAGTTCCTGAAAAGAAACTCTCTCCTGACTTTTGAAAAATTGGCAAAATCTCCTCAAAACCTATCGGAAACCTTATCGACTTAGGAGGAGATGAAAACTAAAAAGAGTCAATAGTCTGAAAGCAAGGGAGTGAGATAAGAGCGAAAATTCGAAGTGTATGAACACTACTCATGCACAAGTATCTCTGTACCAATGAAGATCATTATAACCTTATCAGGTGGAGGTACAAAACCATGTGAAGGTCTGCCTAGAAAGACCCTCTTGTTGTGTTCCCGTTTCGGATATGTCTAAAAGTGAATAAAGAAGTATAAATACCTGCGAGACAAATGACATCAATTACCTTTGCTTTGGTAATAATATGATAATGTTTTGATGCTCAGGAAGATTCTTTATTGAAAAATCCATCATAAAAACATCCAAACCTCATGTGAGCCTACAAAAATATAAGCTCCATACGATCTCAGATCGTATAGTGGTCGTCTGAATACGGTAACGGCGTATATAAATGCCTTATGTGGGCATTGTATATGTGAGCAAGTCAGAAATTTTTTAGAATTTTTTTACGTCATGTTGTTCTTTAATCTTTGGCTTGAACCTCGAAATGGATACAGAGCTCGTGCAAAAGCAAGATGACTATCTTGTAGAGCTTGCTTTGCTCTGTCGAATGGTACTTTGCTATCTATTATATTTAGAAATGAGAAGCGTATGAGCAGAAGTGTTGAAATTCAAAACGGAAGAACTCAAGGGATTACTAGATAGTACAAATGCTTCTCTTAGCCCATGTTTGAGTTTGCATATTTTCAAAACGCATTCTTTTACTCTTTCATCAACTCTTCATCTGCATTTTCCCTTTATTGCGTATTCGTTGCTCCTTCACTAGGATATATTGCGAAGGTCTTGTAAGAATATAAGTTTCGTTATACTATTGGTGAACCAGTAATCAAAGGTGCTAGATTGCATACGCGCGCTTCGGGACCGAACAGGGTTTCTCGCGATCTTTTTGAATTAACGTTACGATTCTTTATATATTATATTAGGTTGAACCGAAAGTAATGTCGCATAATTTTAATTTCGTAACTGCTCCCTATCTGAGTGTACTTGCTTGCAACAAATTCCTTTAGAAAAAAACTTGTCTTATATATTACCGTTTTTACTTCGACGGTCGTCTTTTTGTACCTTTCTTCCAATTAATGCGCTTTGATGAGCCATTCGATAGGGAAAAGCAAGCTCTACACGTTGGCTATCAAGAGTCTGCCCAAATCGTATTCCACGTGAAGTTCTGAGCACAAATCTGATAGCAGTCAAAAACGAACTTTTCGTGAAAAAATCATATCTCTGCCCCAAAAAATATTAAGAATTCTCCATTTATTCTGGCATATGCTTGGCACATCGAGCAGTCAACTACACACTTCCCGTATTTTTTCCATGGCGAGAAATAAAGAAAAAATTGAATGGAGTAAAATGGCAAACTCCGCCCCTAGACGTTCTGAGCTCCTCCCACGTACGTGATCATATAGCTCATACATACAGAAGTACGATCATGTATTTGCGCCCTTTGTAGGTACCCTGATTTTCGAAAAATGCTGATGTTTAGGGTAAAAACTGTAAATAATTATGAGACACCCTAATATAAAGCTGAATGTCTGTTTGTTTGTTTGTTTGTTTGTTTGTTGGTTTGTTTGTGTGTGTCTGTAGTATGTTCCGAATGACCAAACTTGGCACACATACACTTAGGGGCGGGGAGTAGTCTTAAGCTACTTTTCGTCATCGATCGATATCGATTTTATCGATTTCGTCGATTTTTTGCAAAGTTTGAGATACAGGGCTGGGAGTTGGCACAGGGAGGGGGGGGGGGGCTAAGTGAGCATGGCAATTCCGAATACAATGTTAGTTTTCAGAATTATCTATTACTTTCATCGATTCTGTCGATTTTTCTCAAAGTTTGAGCTACGGGGCTGGGAGTTGGCACAAAGGTGTAATCGAGCATGCTGATTACCGATACAATAAGTTTTTGAAATTGTGTGTTACTTTTACTGACTTCATCAATTTTTTGCAAAGTTGGACCTACGGGGCTGGTATTTGGCACAATAGGATAAGTGGGCATACTGATTACTAAAATTAAAATAGCGGGAATATGGGCACAGGGAGCACAGGGAAAGGTTGTACAGGGATAAGGATGAGAGCTTTATCATAGTGTTTTGACAGAGCCGGGCGGAGACGGGTAAGCCAGCTAGTTTTCCAATAAAATCTTTGCGGCTATTTGATGACCAGGGACTCATGAGATAAAAAATTGAATATGGGAACCACTCTGATTTTCTATTGTAGGAAATAAATTCTCAAAATTCTGGAACGCTGCAGAAAAACTTGCTTACAGTCTACCTGAGCTGCTTGTTCTAATAGTGCCAATTTTATTGACCGCGCTTTCTATGAGTATTCAAGATTTTCGTGATAAACGTAAAAACAGCAAAAAATGATTTTCTTTTGCATTTTTCACGAAAATATAGAAGATCCAGATTAGCACAAATTTGACACTGTTAGAAAGAGCAGATTATAGACTGTAAGAGACATATCTTTATTTCCTGCGGCGATTTAGATTTTTGGCAATTTATTTTCCAAAATCAGAGTTAGAGTGAGTTTCCTCGACTTTCATCTTTGGACTCCTCATCAATGAGGCACAAGGTTGTTCTTCAAAAGTAGACAAATTTTTCTATCTGGAACTATTTTTTGTTAGTAAATACGTTCATAAAGGGAGCAGTTATGAAGTATTTAGATCAAAGTGACAGAGTTTCGGATTAACCCAAAATATTTGAAAGACATTTTTACGAGTAGCTGACGTGCAAATAGGTTGTCCCGAAAGTTTTGTCCGTTTTTTCAATATCATAAAAACACGTGGAAGAAGACAGGGAAACGCCTTAAGCACTATCCGGCGCATCTTTTCCTCCTCTTTCTAACTGTCATGCTCATATGCCGATTACTCTTTGGCTCACTGACATAAACGCCGAAATTTCGAACCCATGGTTTTTACTATGTCCAAGTTTGGCAATTTTTCACAATTTTCATTTTTGACTTCCGGAAAAGCTTTGGTAGCAATTAGATAGAGCAAACAAAGGGCAATATAATGCAATTTTGCGGCATCTATAGCTAGCCTTGAAAATTTTTTAGAATTATTTTTCTGATGCATCAAATTCCACTTTTGGTGATGCCAAAAGCCAGGCATCATGAAACGGCGCACAACTAAGGTGTTATTCGATGCAGCTTTTCCTCCTCTTTCCAGCGAGTGTATTTTTCCTCCAATTTGTGGGGTCTTTAGCGATAAAATTTCCATAATTTTGAATTTGACCCCGCCCCAGCGTACACCTTAAATGCGAAATCCTATATTTCGAAACGGTAAACGCTCAGTTGCTTTGTAAAAATAGTAAATAATCGTAATCGATTTTTGAAAGCTTCAAAATCCGATGATTTGTTAGTGTTCGAGGCGTTTCCGTATTTTGGGACTTCGCAAAAGTGAAAACTTTTGAAAAAATCATCTTAAAAAATACTAAAAATCTAGCTGGATAAGCCAAAAAATTGCACTGCATTGCCCTTTGTTTACTCTATCTGAGCGCTATCAAAGGTCTTCCAAAAGTTAAAAATGAATCTTGTGAAAAATTGCCAAACTTGACATAGTAACACGGGTTCGAAATTTATCTCAATGAGCAAAGGAGTAATC